GAATATTTTGATATATTCTACCTATGCATAATTTAAACCGAGATTTGAAACATATGTTCAAAGCTATCTATACTATTTCTTTTAAGACACATAGTATATGGTTAGACTCCAAACTATTGGGTTCTGTTGAGTACTCAAGATCCCAATTGTAGAATTCCCACTGTACAGAACGTATATTATTTATAGTCGGCCGTTTTTTACCACTCGGCCACTCTTCCCTACTGTTCGAGTGATATTACTAGCACTGCAAGTTTTGAGTGATCCACTTCAACTACTATATTATGGATATGTTCAGGATTTTACATTGGTGTATAAATGAAAAAAGAAAAAAAAATGATAATAATAATAACCAAGGCAGATGGTCAGATTCTGCCACCAGTGGGTTGAGTGACTAAGAAATTGATTTTTTAACACAACATCACTAATTAAGTCATTAATAAAATGACAAATTGGTCTTATTGAAGTTGAAGGAAGGTGGCTTAAGGGAGTTCACATGCTTGAGATTATTATAAAAATATAGGATAAATACAAGAAGAATCTCCATTGGAGGAGACAACGTGTGGATATTGTCACTTAAGAAGTAGGCCATACCTGCCTTTAGTAGTGGGATCAGATACTATAAATTACTTGAACTCGGTCGGTAGCCTTTTAATTTTGATGTCTTAATCTGCTTTAGCTTTATCTGCCCATGTTCAATCACAACTTGACATGTATCCCCAACATTAGTTGGCACAGATTAGGACATGAAGAGTCAAGTTGAGCGAAGATGATCAGTTGAACACTCTTCATTGAAAGAATTAAATTTGATATAGAAAAAATTATACTCTTGATCAAAAATTATTTTTCATATATACATGTTATATATAGTATTATATATTTTTAGCAAAATTTCTGACACATTGATGAAGGACACCTTGAATGGGAATCAATCCTAGGATGATAATTGTAATTCCCAAAACAAATTGATGGACCCAAAACAAGCCTCACGGCTCACACAATATGCATAGGTTTTATGTGTCACAAAATAAAGTTGCTCGTTAGTGGATCATATTAACTCAGTCCACCATAGCGTAATTTGAAGTTTTGCTCAAAGTTTTTAAAAGATAATTATAAATAACGGTAAGTGAAACTGATCACTTGAAAAAAAAAATGAAGACAACTTGATATACCAGTCTAATCGAGTAAATATTATTTGCATTGTACCGTACAATTTGTACGTGTATATAAGTTAAAAGTGGAGGGACATCATATAAGAATCTACTGCCCTCATATTCTTTGGCTCACAGAGCTAATAGTCACTTACCATTCTTTGGCTGCTTGTGGTTTATCAGTTAGTCATATTAGTTGGTACAATTTCCTTTTTCATTTCTTTATCAAAAGTTCAATTCCCAAATTATTTGTATGGGTAGAAATACCGTCTTTATAATTGGACAAATCAAGAGAAGACACATCATAATCAAAGTTCAATTGAATCTAGTTCAGTAAAGGTAACATCGGACATGTCATTAGATCATAAAGGGTAAGACTGGGGATCCAGAACAATGATGCAACTCCGCAACAACCAGATGATGAACATATTAGTGACAAGTCAAGATAAGCGTCAACAACAATAATACATTTTGAAAGAATCCAAGATTCATCCCAACTCAATCGTGTAACACAAAAGACGTTACTTAGGATTGTGCTCTAAATTCATCCCTTTCTCCTTACTTGTAGCACATCTAATTTTCATCACACACTGTACACACGCACTCAACCTCGTATATGTTCGGTGGAAGCACCAGATTCCAACAGGTTGCCATTCCCAATTTCCCATCTTCCTCTTACTTTTGTTTTTTTTGAGTAGTCCGAATAATTTAAGAAAATTCTATGAAATGAATTGCCTGTTTTTTTTTTTGCCTGGTCAATGGGGAAAACGAAAAATTCTTGGATAAAAGACGAGTTATTCTTTACCCATAAAAAAATAGGAATTTATTGTTGAGAAATGAGAACAATTCAGTGCATGCACCAATTTATTTTTATTTACAATCATTAAGTAATATTAATCGACCAAATTTAAGTAATAAACTATTTATGAATTAAATGTTCTCATTATATTGTTTTGATGCATTACCGACTTATTTTCCTTCTATCTATACTTAACTACTAGTTTGCCAACTCTTTACAGGGGAAGAGCGTTCTCTACCGACAAAATTCAATAATTTTAATTATAATTTTATATTTGTATTATTTAATCTATTCATAAGTATTATAAATAGTTTATTCAAAATCTAATAAGCTTCCTTCAATCAACTAATGATATGAACTTTCATTTAATTAGTGAGCATTCGACTCCCATTTTGTATCTATTCCTCATGGTTCCATTTACCTATTTCCTACCGTAACTTAGCAATACCAAATTCCCAGAATAAAGAAAATCAAATCATTATAACTTACCGTTTCACTATTTTGTCATGCAAGTCAACTTTGACGAAGTTGGGGAATTAGTGGTCCGTCATAGCTTCCGTCAAGGGAACAAGGTAGCCAACCTTCTGTCCAAATTAGGTTCCAAGCTAATACATACCACTAATTCACTTATCCTACAAACTCCACCAGATGTAGCAAAGGAGAAACAAAAGGCAGATCAAGATGGAGTATCATCTAGTAAAATAGTAGTATGGTCTATACGTAATAAGTTAGCTCGTTTTGATAACATATCTAGCTATCTATAATCACAAATAATAACGGCGATAATGTAATGTTAAAGTAAGTAACTATATATAAAATATATCTCCCTTTTTATCAAAATAATAATTTCTGTGTTCACATTACTTTGTGAAGCTAATAGTAACACAATATAACAATTTAAACGCACATATTAAAAGGAAACTACAAAAATGATGCAAAAAAATGCAAATTAGAATCATCAGGAAGATGAGACCCAGAAACACAAAAAGGAAAATACCTTTTCCAAAGAACACTTTGAAAAAGACACTGCTCCATTGACATATCTTTGGCAATATTTTAAAATGTTCTGCAGAAGTGCTGCTCATCCAACTCCTCCAATATGACGGTACAATTAGGGTTTTTAGTAAGGGAGGAGAAGAGGCAAACCAAAGGACCGTAGCTAGAAAATGCACATACTATAGTCATCGAGCTTTAGATGTGTGGCCGGAATCGGAATTTAGTATCCGACTGAAGTTAAAAAACAAACGCCGCTGCCGGGGATCGAACCCGGGTCACCCGCGTGACAGGCCGGAATACTCACCACTATACTACAACGACTTTAATTGATGCTGAAAGAAGCTTAGCATTTAATATATTAAATGAACTTCTTCAGTATGTGACTTCAAAAGTTCAGGCAGTATAGCATTGCGTGTGAAGATGAACTTACTTGTAGTCTAGTGCTTCACGATTTTTACTGCCTACTTAAGTCCTATAGGACTAAGAGGTTGGTATGTGAATGGAACCGTAGGCTCCTATGCCGGGAGCATTTCGGGGTATAGTTATTTAAGTGAAAATGAAAGATTATCGGTAATTCAACTTTAAGCCACATAATGAATAATAATTTCGTTAGAGTAAAATAATCTTAATTTTCAATTTCTGCTTGATGAATCGGAAAAACTAGAGTCGCCGGTGAGAGCAAAAAAAGATACGCCGTTGCCGGGGATCGAACCCGGGTCACCCGCGTGACAGGCGGGAATACTTACCACTATACTACAACGACTTTGTTGTGACGCTAGATTAACATGTTGTTATTGTTGAATTTCTGCTTGATGAATCGGAAAAGCCAGAGTCGCCGGTGAGAGTAAAAAAAGGTTACGCCGCTGCCGGGGATCGAACCCGGGTCACCCGCGTGACAGGCCGGAATACTCACCACTATACTACAACGACTTTAATTGATGCTGAAAGAAGCTTAGCATTTAATATATTAAATGAACTTCTTCAGTATGTGACTTCAAAAGTTCAGGCAGTATAGCATTGCGTGTGAAGATGAACTTACTTGTAGTCTAGTGCTTCACGATTTTTACTGCCTACTTAAGTCCTATAGGACTAAGAGGTTGGTATGTGAATGGAACCGTAGGCTCCTATGCCGGGAGCATTTCGGGGTATAGTTATTTAAGTGAAAATGAAAGATTATCGGTAATTCAACTTTAAGCCACATAATGAATAATAATTTCGAAATAAAATTTGGGGATATATGAGCTACATAATTAAAAGAACATTTATAATGAGCTAGTATATAACTAGCGTGATTGTACTACCTAGTTGAAATATTGAAATCCAAATGATCCTACAAAATGTTTTATGTTTATTTTAAATTCTTAACATGTAAAAATAAAAATCTCTCGTGAGATTTGCCATAAGACAATAAAAGAAAATCATTATGAGCTACATAAAACTAATTGATTTTACTTTGTGTTGAGGTATCTACATAAAGCAAGAAGAGAGGTACTGAGATATTTGTCGATAACCAGGCACTATAGCCACATTACAAAATCCAGTCTTTCATGGAAGAACTAAACATTTTAATATCAAGTTATAATTTTTTAAGGGAAGTACCGAAGAATGGTGAAGTGATACTGGTTTATTTTAAAACAAAAAGTCAAGTGGCTGATATTTTCACCACGTCGTTTCATGTTAAGATTTGAACTTCTCAGAGAAAAGCTAGGAGTTTGCATGTTTCTAGGAGTAGTGTTTATTATTTCCCAGGACCTGATTGTGTGCTAACAATTTCTAAAAGCGCTGAAACTCACTCAAGAATTGTTGCTACAATCGTGAGAGTTAATAACAAAATCGGATAACTGAATATTTGATTTTTAGGGATTTGTTTTATGTTAATTGGGAGTTTGTTTTCTAATTAGGAAAAATAGAGTTTAGACTGCAGTAATTTATATGCCATTTTGTAAGGTTTTGGCTGTATTCTATCAAATAAATTCATATTACAGACATTCCAACATCTCACAGAGCTAGCCTTGATGTAAAATGTAAATGAACTAACCTTGCTGGAGATAGAAACATAAAAGAATATCAATGAATATACGAGGGTTTTCTTTGATCTATAACTTTCACATTGTTCACTAGTTAAATAGAAAAAGTCAATTGATTTACCAATCTAGACAACACAAAGCATCATTATAGACTAAAGATGAAACAAACGAAAAAAACTAACTTTATAACATAAGAACTCCATAACCCTTCTATTTTATGGTCTAAATAAAACCTCAACGGATGACTAAAGGCTAACAACATGTGACTAATAAAAAAAACAAGAATTGAATATATCAGAAGACTCGACCGCTGGTAAAGTATTCTCCAAGCATAGCTCCAATTTCAAGAACTCCAATTACCAACTACATGATAATTATGAGTTCAAGAACTCTCCTCTTCTTCTTGCTCAGGGGCAACATTTAAATCAATCTTGAGAAGCTCGGCAAGAATAGCACCTTGTGTTTCTTTTTTAATTTTCTCCACCCTCAACTTCAATGCAAGCTTCTGCTCCTCCATGTGTTGATCCGGAGGTACTTCTGAGCCAGAGTGCATAATCTTATACATTAGTTTTCGTTTTTTTTCTTTCTCATTCCATGCTTGTAATTCTTTATGGAAAGCTCCCAATACCTCAAAGCCATTTATTTTTCCCTCAGCATGATCACATTGGTGATCCTCTAGTTTCACTTTGAAAAAGTTATCAATGATTTCTTCTATACTTGTGGAACCATAGGAACATGGTTTTCCACTTGGTGAAAAGAGCATAACACCAACATCTACTCCAGTCCGAGTTGCAAGCCTATCTGCATCCTGGAACAAAGTTTTTTTCTTTTTGAGAAACTCACAGTGCGTGTTCTCTCAGACTCAATCAACTTCATTTCAATTTTTTGCTTACCTTTATTGGTCTCATTTTCCATTGCAAAAGAAAATGATTGAAGAAGAAAACACAATGTTTAGGCTGAGCAATTTTGAGAGGAAAACTTGTCTAATTTATAGTAGATTGCCAGGTGTATTGTCATGCTTATTAAATGTTCTCATATTATGAGAATATTGTTGTCACGTGCCTTGCCATTTTTTTAAAATTTAATTTTCGCATTATTGTTAAATTAGGTCTTGGGCCTAACTCACACCCCAAAAGCTAGCTCAAAGGGAGGAGGATTGCCCAAGCCTTATAAGGAGTCCACCCATCTCATTAACCACCGATGTGGGACTTTTGTCATTCTTTAACACCCCACCTCACACCTAGTGCTCAGCATCTGGTGCGTGGGCAATTTTGATTTTGGGGGCCCCAACATCAGGTGAGACGGGCCCTGTTTCGATACCATGTTAAATTAGGTTTTAGGCCTAACTCACACCCCAAAAGCTAGCTCAAAGGGAGGAGGATTGCCCAAGCCTTATAAGGAGTCCACCCATCTCATTAACCACCGATGTGGGACTTTTGTCATTCTTTAACAATTATGACACTATTTGTCACATTTAGTTAGTGTTTTCATATTATGTCAATCTGAAGATAAATGAAAACTAAATTGTTATTTTATGTAATGTTTTCATATTATGAATCTATTTGTCACGTGTATTGTCATGTTTATTTATTGTTTTTATAGTATGAGTATATTTCACGTGTTTTGTCACGTTTATTTAGTGTATTCATATTAATACCTTTAAGTTATTTTCATATATAATGTTAATTCAGAAGGGGGAGCTTGAATCAACGGTAAAATTGTCTTTGTGTGACCTATAGGTTACAAGTTCGAGTCATAGAAGCAACCACTAATACTTGCCTTAGGGTGGATTGTCTACAACACAAACCTTGGCTGCGACCCTTCTCTGGACCCCGCTAACGTGAGATGTTTTGTGCATCGGACAATCCTTTTATTGTATAATGCTTATTCTATACTATGAAAGAAAAGGAAACATGCGAAATAGCTAGTTTTACCTTTTATTTACAAGTACATTTTCTCCTAATGTGATTCAAGAAAAGGACCTCGACAACTCCAGCTCAATGAAACCTTATAAGATGATTTTACACCTCTAATTAGTTACGTTTATTGTTACTTTTTTTTTCTTGATTAGCTTAACTGAATTTATTGAACTAACTACTTCTCTTTTTTGACATCATCTTTATCACTTTCAGTGTAATTTTCAAGATTTTCTTAAAGTAATATCGGCAATTGTATGCCCGGTAACACTAAATTCATAGTGCATACATTACAACTCACAAAATATTGTGCTACCTAATACATCTTAGAAGTATAATTAAATTATTCCATACAAAATACATATGCCTTCTATATATTCCATCCGGAATACAACAGGTATATCTGATCCATTTCAATCGTAATCCTTAGATTGGCAATGCCTGGTGGCTTAACCAATTCTTAGTTCTTACGTCTCCTATCTTGCTTAAACACCGTTAAGATCAGTCCTGACTTTCAATTGCATTGTTAATATTTACTGCAATGATTTTTGCCTTGTCATTACTTGAGTCGAGGGTCTAATGGAATATCCTCTCTATCTTCACAAGGTAGGAGTAAGGTTTGTACACACCACCCTCCAAACCCCACTTGTTGGATTACACTATGTTGTTGTTTGTTGTTGTTATCTTTTAACTATGAAATGTATGAGACTTGAATCGACAGTTACGCGTCCCTAATAAAACAACAATGCCATTTTACTTTTTCACAACATTTTTTCTTTGGAACTTAATCCAAACTTGCTACTATTGTTATGGTTATGAGATTTGAAATGCATAGGTAACAAGTTATAGGGCCAGGAATTATAAATCTAAATTGAGAAATTATAGCAGCAAGCAGCACATCTAAATCAGGAACCCAGCCATTCTATTCAGCAATACCATTGAGCAGGATTAGTTGATAACCTTCATCAATTACTACAGTGAAACTTGACAGTTAAATCTCAGCTCAAATTACATCATTTAAATTCTATTTGGTTAGTTAAGCACATCCCACATTAGAAGATGAGATGAAGGTGTGCAATCACAAAGGTGTCAAGATAGAGGTTTAGAGCATCGAACTAAATTACTGATACACCTTCCCACTATCATAGCTTTAATGATAAACTCTCTCTCAGTCTAGGCCAGGATTAGAAGTAATAGCCCTTAACTAACACAAATATTATTTGTTTTCCCTATATAAAGATACTCATAGAACTACTAGATGGTTTTGGTGAAAAATTTAGGATGTAAATGCAAATCATTTCATCCATGTGATTAGTCTTAAGTTACCACGGCAGAGGAGCAAGCACATCCCGATCTGGAAAGATAAAGTGTCCAGCTAACTAAAGGGGAAACTGAAGAGAGAAGGCTTACTTGTTACCAAGAAGAAAACATCCACTCCTGAGAGTAATCTTGTCTCTCAAACCAAGTTCCTTGTATCTTTGGTGCCTTTCCTATTATAGACAAAACAATTTGATAAGATGAGGACCAAGAACCTCCAATAGCATGAGTAAAATAGGTATGAAGCATGTACAGATTGAGAAATGGAAACAAGGGAAATACAGAAAATTGAAGGGAAGCTATTGCACTGACTAGACAATGTAAAATTGTAAATATGGGGAAATACAAAGCCGAGAACATCTAGAAACAGTTTAGAAAATGGAATCATAAATGTTTCTGCAATTTTTATGTATGGAACATTAAAAATCGCACATGCTTTATGCTACTCTTATGAATTTAAATAGTTTGGAAGCTAATTCATAGGCCTCAAAAGAATGGACTTGGCAGATGGAGGAAGTGGAACAGCTAAGTTTTACTAACACCAACCTAATCCTGCCATCAGGGAAAAAGACATGGAAACTCGATTAAGATGTGACAGAAAAGTTGGGGACCTTCTTCGAGAAAGCTGCAAATGGATTTATATCCTCTTCATACATCTTCTTGTAATTGGACTCCTCATCTGAGCTGAAACCACTTCCTAGGTCTTCTGCATACTGAGAATGAGAAAGCAGCATATCAGAAGAAAAAGAAATCGACGCAGACTGTGAAATCAACAATAAAATCAGACAGGTCACCTTCTTTGATCCTCTTGAAATCACTCTCTCAGAATTATGATCTTGAACATAACGGATTTTTCCATAAAGTTTCTCATCACTTGTTCCTCCGCCTCACAGAGGTGGATCCCCAAGGTTTCTTCAAGACCACTGGGGTTATGCAATCTTTTGGGGTAACCATAAGCGTTATCCAAAAAAGAAGGTCTAATTGTTCGGTGACTAGTTCCCCAAAGGAGTCAGTTAGAGGAACGGGAGATGTAGTTGTAAGAGTTCAAAATTTAAAACTTTTATCTGAACCCATATTGATCAACATCATATTCCATAGTGCTCTGACATGCGTTACTCGAACCAACAGTCTAACGGAAACAGCCTCTTTACCTCCCGAGGTAGGGATAAGGTATGCGTACATTCTACCCTACCTAGACCCTGCTTATGGGCTACACTTTGTTGTTGTTGTTGTTGATGATGTTGAATATCATTATACACAACAATCATTTGAAAAAATTAATTACTGAATTAGAGACAAAAGTATGTAAAGAACTAAGTCACAGAAATCAGAAAGAAGCATACAATGCCAAATGAACATTTTTCTCTACTAAATTCACTTCATCACTAGCAATCGAAATCCAACAAAAACCCGAGCTAATTTCCCTTCTCTCATTCTATCTCTCTGTTCCAACATTTTGCAGCAAAATGCAAAGCAACTTGACTGAACAGTAGCTAAAAATCCGATTATTGCATCAGATAAACTACTGATAACTAGAACATAAACGCGAAATTGCTCTTGCCTAGTGTTAAAGTGAACTAATCCCAAAATTAAAATAGATTTGACGAAATTTAACAGATAATTGCGCCAACACATACCTCTCCAGTAGCGAGGGGAGTAGAAGAAGACGAACTTTTCGCCTTCTCCCTCTCTGACCCAGTGATCCTCCTTCCTGAAGTTGCTATGGAGAAAGTTGAACAATTTTTTATTTTATTCCCGTTGCAAAAAGCTCCTATTAAGGTAATAATTGACATGTCTTACCACATTATCTCTATTATAATTAATATTTAATATTATACTAAGTATAAAATATGGGGAAAAAAATATGATATGTTAAAAGTGATAATTAAAAAAAAATATTAGTTTTTAAATAATAGACAAGAAAAGTGAATAGAAGAAGTATTAGTTTAATATTACAATTTGACCTTCTCCAAAGATTTCAATATAATAAAAATGCTTCCCTATGATATATCAGAGATATCAAGTTTTCAGTTTTATGAGTATTTTTTCTCACTTCAAAACGTGTAATTTTGGTCAAGTAATACCAAATGGAGTACTATTTAGTTTCTGAGGAGTTCGTAATTATAGAATTTGTGATTAGGTAGTTGGGTAATATTTTAATGGGATACAAAGTTTAAATGAAAGAAATATTTTTAAAATTTACGACTTTAACTTAATTTATACAATGATGTTTAATTGGACAGACAATTGTTTGTATGTTATAGCCAATGCATACAATTTGTGCACTATTTGAATCAATCCAACTTACTATAATGAGATTTCTAGTCGCAAATGATAAATGTGAATTGTAATTGCAAAATGGTATAAGGTGTTGAGCGCAATTTATAAATCGTGAAATGTATTTTTAATTCACAAAAAGCAAAGTTTGATAGAGAGAAATTGGTCGGGTTCACCCGCAATTTGAGAAAATTTTAAAAGAATTAATGGCCATTTTAACAAATTGTAGAAGTTCAGAAATTGCTTAAATGTTGTACTTGTTACACTTTTACTTCATCTATACTGTGTCGTTAGAAAATCAATCTCGTATTTGTCTCTATCATATCATTGTTAGCATCAAGGGAAAAATGGTATCTTTCCTAACAAAGGTATGATATTGAATTAAAAGTTTAGTGATGGGCAAATTTGTTTGATATAAAAAAATATAAAGATATATATGACTTTTTCAATATTTATTTACAATATAATTCGCAAAATCAATACCTCATCAAGTCTTTTACATATTACACTCAAAGTCCAAAGATGAATTATTGGAATTCTACAATCAGTATATTGCAAGTTATATAAGTAAAAGTCGTCGCTCACTGCTTTACAAGTGTACAAATATTTTAGGCTTTTAGTTGACTTTAAAGAAAGATGCTCACATTGCTTTGTGGACTAAGTCTTTGGTTTAGAGTTGTCATCATCACGACACTACTGAAATTCCATGATAGCTGCAATGACTTACTGGCATTATCTGTATAGGTAAACCAGGTCAAAGTTGTCGATAGTAGCAAATTTTGTTCATATCTCTACGTTTTTCTCATTGTAATGTTGTTAGTTGAATGATAATTTTCACGTTAAGCGCCGACTAGAGCCAAGATGATTTGGAGTTTATAACTGAACCCATACGTGATATTGTAGCTTCACCCCGGCTACAAGCATATTCAAAAGGAAACTGAGTGTTCACATATTATTAGGAGAGGATACTTAAAGAAATAATATTCCCATTATCTCCCTTCAATCATAAGATAGTTGACATCAATCAACTATGCAGGAACGTGGAATTAACATGTCCCTCGACAGCCGAATTTAAACAATGAGCCTAGTGGGGGAGGGGTGATTAATTCCCACACATTTCCATAATTATTATAAAATGTCTATTAATAGTCTTCTATCAACGCAGATCATCTAAATATAAAGTACCCTCTTTCTTCTTTCATTCAACAAAGAGAGTGAAGAAGAAATGGGGCGTATAGGTGCAAAACCCATTCATCAGTTCCAAGTTCAACATCAAAATGATAATGATCAGCACCAGCTACAGCCTCATCAAGTGGAAAGTTTTGATCATTATCAAGCCCCTGAAACCATTGATGAAATACCTCCACCATCCATTGAGTCTTTCCATGAAGATCTTTATCCAGAAGAAAATCAAGATGAACCATCACAAGAACTGACAATGGCAAGTGAATCACAGGAAAATCAACACTCAGTACTACAGCAACAATATGTACAGGCAGCACCTCAGCCAATGAGCAGGCCTGTGACCACACAGGTTTCTCAGCAAAATGGAAAGACTCAGAGGCCAAGGAAGCAGCCTAAGCCCAAATCACCACTACACCCTAGCCAACACAACAGCTTTCCCATTCATGACCCTCAACCTCAAGCAGAAGCCTTTCCTCCACCCCAGTCTCAACCCTTGCCACATCCCTTCCCACCTGCTCAAGATTACTATGAGCCAGGCACCTTTCCTCCTACGCAAGAAGAAGAAGAAGAACACGCATTTCCTCCAACTGTGCCACAGGCCTTCCCTCCTGCTCAGGACAGTTATGAACCACAAGGCTTTCATCCAACTCCTAATAAAGCACATGCTTTTCCACCACCTCAAGTTGATCCCCAATTATATTCTCCTCAGGCCAGACCACACGCATTTGTGCCTCAGAATCATAATGTGCCAGTTTTTACCAACTCTAAGCCTCAAGCAGGTACTAATTTTCCACAATACAGTTTAGCGCAAGGTTCACAATTAGGAATGGGTATGGGACAATACCAACAAGGGACGCAACCAGCATCTCCCATGATGGGAATCCCCTTCAAGCCACTTCTTCCAACTGAATCTTGGAAGACTGGATTGTTTGATTGCATGGAAGACCCCACAAATGGTAAACAGTTTTTAATCTCCTTATCTCATGCACTCAAGCACACACACAGACAAAGGAACTGTTCAATTTGCTTACGAAAGTAAAAGTTTCAATGTGATTTACTAGCCTGTGCAAACTTTCAGCTCTCATCACAGCATGCTTCCCCTGCCTGACATTTGGACAGATTGCGGAGATTGTAGACTCTGGACAAACTCGTAAGTGATACATAGATAAGAAAACAAAAATGGAAATTCTTACACTTCATAGCAGTTCCCTTCTGAATTCTCCATACTTTCATAATTATCTTTTATTAACACTGGATACTCTATCCTTGTCTCTCTTTTTTGTGTATACTATAGCTTGTACCACTAGCGGCTTTATCTATGGGGCAATTCTTATGTTCATTGGAATGCCTTGCATAATGTCATGCACCTATCGTACAAAGATGAGGAGCCAGTACGGGCTAATTGAATCACCGGCACCTGACTGGGTAATCCACTGCTTTTGCGAGTGCTGTGCTCTCTGTCAAGAATATCGAGAGCTTCACCACAGAGGACTTGACCCTTCAATTGGTAATACTACTTACAACCTTATTTTATTTTATTTTTATAATCACAAGTATTAAGTTGCTAGGTCAATTGTATCACGGTCCTTATCTATAAATTATGAACCAGACCTCCGTTTTATGGGTTTCGCAATTATAGTTGTCATATTTCTAAACTATATGGACTGTTCTTCATTGACAGGATGGCAAGGAAATCAGGCACAGAAACAGAACATGCAGCTACAACAAGCTACCATGGTCCCTCCAGTTCACCAAGCCATGGGCTGATTAATTTGCAGAAACTAAGTAATTATATTGTGCTTCTCTCTAAATTTTGTTCTGTCTTTTAACTTTCCCCAATGAGAAAGAGAAATAATGCTAAATTTTCAAATGATCCTGGGATTTTCATAATGAAGAACTATCTTTTAATGCAAAGGAACTTTCATAGCTCAACAGATGGCACCATTAATTCCCTTACTGAAGTTAGATGATACTATTCTACTTATGAGAACAATTTTGATTTGTCTTGAGGCAACTATAGAAACAATATAATGTTTATTTACAAATCACTGCAACTCACAATCAAGTGGGTGATGCACCCACCGACCAGTGTGGATGGAAAATGGAAATATATAATTCTTCACAGTTGATGTTAGATCAATTTCCATTTATTCTGTGATGGAAAAGGGGACATGTTTCCCCTATCAGTATTGGGTGACAACCTATGACCAAAAGTTACAAACTCAGGGGCAGGGGCAGTGGCCTCCATCTCACTACGAACACCTACAATGCCGGATCATATTGGTTTACCCTAATACTTTGCGCCTAAGATGAAGGGGGCTAAACGACCTGCCAAAGTCAGGGTTTTTAAGAGTTCACATTGGAACTTCCACCTTAGAGAGAAGACTCCGAGTATGCTGAATCGTATCAACATTATAAAGAAAGCATACACAACATCTTACTATAGCAGGTTGCTACTTCACTAATAAGAACAAATTACTTCTAGCCAGTCTCCCCCCCCCCCCCCCCCCCCACCACCCCCCCCACCCCTCAC